CCCCAAAACCCCAAAACCCCAAAACCCCACGATTAAATATGCATGGTCTATATAACAGTAAATAAATTTACAAATAAAATGACAACTTAGGCTCCATTACTTAAGATCAAGCATTCAAAGCTTTATCAGTTTAACTATGGAGAATACCAAAAACTTGAAAGATAAAAAACTATCTTTCTAAAGGATTCCTCCAACCTTAACTACTTTGAGACTATCACCACTTTAGACCTGGCTTCTCAGAATGCAGATAAATTACCCCCATTAAACACACTTCAATATTATTTCACTAATTTAAGAGAACTGAATCTGTCGAGTAACAGAATATCTAACCTAGACACTGATGCTTTTGTCAAGGCTTGTCCAAAGATAATTAAACTAGATATTTCCAATAATCAAATAGCCCCTATTCAGCAAATACTGCTTTTGAACAAATTAGAGTAATTAAATGATCTTAATATAGCTGGGAATCCTATCGATATTATTGGAAAGAGGATATGTCTACTCAGATGCATAGTGTTAGATGAGCATGAACCCTAAATGAATGAGAAATTAGTAGTGGAATATTTATAACAAAACTATTCTCATGTGCCGAGAATGAGACCTTAGACTGCTGTGCTACCCTAGAAGAAGAGAGTATTTCCTAATTGCACTGATGAATATAATTATCAAAGAGAAGTGCTTACTTATGTTAGTATTGAAGACAAAAATGTCCAGGGGATACTTATGATGACTTCTCTAACGCCAAGATCCGGTGGAAATTTTAGATATCTCAGAGTTCTTAATAATGATAATATTACAGTCAGAGAGTTGGAGGAGATTTTGTATTATGTAAAGTTTAAGTAGGACTATGATAACCAAAGGAATCTATATTTGATGGAATAACAATAGGCTTAATATGAATATCAAAAGTCCACTTTGAAAAAAGGCAGTGAAAGCATTAATCGAGATAAGCTTTTAAAACCCAAAAACTCTAAACGCAAGCCAAAGGAAAGGTAGACTAACAAGAGAATAGTTATTTAAAACATAGAGGAGATTAGACCTGATACAATTTAGAGGTTTTTGTTCTAAGGTGGAGGTGAGCAAGATGGCAGATTCTAAGAGCAAAATTCAAATTTCAAGAAGAGAGAGATAGACTCATTAGAATTCATTGGAGAGAAGAAAAGAATTAAAGAGGAAAGACTTTAAAATAAGAAAGACTACATTAAGATTAGAGATAAAATTATCTCCATGAAGTAGGAAAATGAGATACCTGAGTTCAGATTCAAGAAGATAACTAAGGCTCCAACGTTTAAACCTGAAGAAGTCAAAATGCATACCATATAAATTAAAGCTAAGAATATATCACAAGCTTTGATGGATGATATATTCGTTAAGAAAGAGGTTTAAAAGTACCAAACAAAGGGAAAGATAAAAGTAATGAGAAGGATCAAATAGGAAAGACTTCAAAGAGCCAAGAATTAAGATATCCTTAATCAGAGTTTTGAATCATCAGATATGAATGAAAGGAAAGAACAAGATCTGATAAAACTGAAAGATTCCTCATCAGATGAAGATATCGATGAGTCCCCTGATTCAAGAGATGACGATCAGAAATCTTTGACTGAGATATTAAGTACTGAGGAGAATCAATCTAAGGCCCCTGAATCAATCTAACACTCTCCAGAAAATAACAATAACTATCACCATCATCAGTTCATGTCTCGAAATATGACATAGCCCCTGACTACTCAGATAAATTCTCCTGCCTATAATAATAAAACTGACTAGTAACTTTTAATGAGAACACTTTCTCCATCCTCAGATTAATTGCAACTGAGCAAGGCTAAGACTATGATGAGTAACTGTTTTAGTGAGAATAACTTGAAAACTGACTTTGAGATTAAAAAAGATTACTATATAAACAAAAAGGTTAACTAGCAGAACCACATAACAAATTAGAAAAATAATTTCAAGCTAATGATTGGTAGAGCTCATCGAGAAGTCTACAAGAAAAAGGACTATGAGGAGGCCTAGAAAATTCTGAGAAGGGATTTATTTAAAGGTCACATGAAGTATGAAGACTTAAAGTCATCTAATCTAAAGATGGAATATATCTAGCTAGTGAAAGATAGAGAACTGTTTAAAGAGTCTTTAGATTATTTTGATAAGCATAAGGAATTTCTAGAGACCAATGAATTTTATAGGGAGTTCTTTCAAAATAGAAGTAATGGGACAAATGGGAAAAATGATGCTGAAGAGTTGGAAAGATATGAAGATTTGGTGCTCTTGTATCTGAATTGTAAATAAAATGAACATAGAAAATAAGATATCAAGAAGCTCAGATAAGTTGTAAATAAGATCTGTCCAACTGATGCAGAGAGTCACTTCAAACATAAAAAGAGAAATGTAATTGAAAAGCTAGACAAAGACCTCACAAAGATAAGTGAATAGGAATTTCAAAGGCTTTAAACACTGCTCAATCTATACTCTAAACTTGACTCATTTCCACCATCAATAAAGAATTTCGATAAATGGCTTGAGATAAATAGAGAGCACTAGCAAAGAGCTTACGAAAAGGAAGAATAATTCCGTAAACATGTGGAGTCTCTTCCACAAACTAAAATAAAACAAGCCAAATAGCAAAAATAAACATAAGAGAACAAGAGATAACAAGTGTCATTAATGAACACAATTAAATTGGAAAACAATTACTTCTTGTCTCCCTCAAATCATGTGTTATAGAAAAGTCCCTAGGAAGTACTAAATCTTAAGTCTAAGTCAGAAGCAAATCTAATGAGACCAATGACAGCTGTTACTACTGTATCGACAGCTGCTTCCACCACTAATCATTAGAGACAGGAGTCAAATAAGTTTAAAAACAGAATAATGAGTCCTGACCTTAAGAAGCTTAAGAAGTTGTCTAGCATAACAAAAGTTGAGTTCATTGAGAAGTAAATGAATTAGCCTAAGATTAATAGTAAAAGAATGGAAGATGATTGGGAACCCCTTGACATGAAGGGCTCAATCCTAGAATACATTCCTTAGTATAATCATTTTTGGAATGATCTGAAGTAGAAGGTATTCCCCTTGGGCCCACTAGAATAAATAATAAAAGATCCATATAAGTACAATCATACAAAGGAAATTCTGGATGTAGAGTTAAGAAAGCAGCAAAAGGCTGAGATCCTCTAGAAGAAGATGAAGAAAAAGATGTCAGCTAAACTTTTGGATGAGTATGACAAGCTGTAATCGAAGGTGATTGGAAGTAAATACAGGTTTGTACAATACCCTGACCAGCTGATTGAAAAGAAGAAAGTGCCAAATAATGGAGATGACAGAAGCGTGGACATTAGTCTGTACTTGGATGATATATGCGAGACCTCCACTATTATGGAAAAGAAGATGAATGGTAAGACCAGTGCTGATATGTATGTATTAAGTGAGAAGAAGGAGAAGATTAATAGACTGCTTGAAAAAGAAGCTATTCTAACACCTAAAGTGCATAGTTACAATATGCTTGGTAGAATTGTGAAATATGCTCATAAGAAATATGATTAGATAGATTGAAAGCAATATTTTTGATTTTAGTTTTAATTTAATAAGTAACAAATGAGTGTATATGGGGTTTTGGGGTTTTGGGGTTTTGGGG